CTCGAAATCACTAACAACTTTTTCAGTGAAAATATACCATCGACTGATAAAAAAATTGCTATTTTTTATGACGAAACATTTATATTGTAAATTTATTTAAAATATAAATTAAAAGCAAAAAAGATAAGACTAAACTTATTTTGTACTAATTTAAAGTTTAAAGTTCAATATGCTTTAAACGTTAAAATTCGAAAAGCAAAAATACACAAATCACTTTAAACATAAAAATTTCTAATGAATTCAATGTGCGATAGTATATGATTATTGTTTTAGAAAAGCTAACCGATATTTACAGAATTTGTATATTAATAGATACTTAAAATATCTACGATGCAAATAGGAGCGTAATTTGTCTTTTGATATTTTGGCAATATAACACATTCATGCATCGTTTTAATAAAGAGTGTTATTTAACGAGTCCTTTTGTATGTGTCATTCGTAATAAAAAATAACCAAATTAGCTCACTCCGTGACACATGCGTACACATTATGCTCTGTATGAGAGATAAAAAGTCGTCTGAATATATATCATTTGAAATTTTGCGTTATTTTAAAAATTAACTTAATTATAATATATTTTATTTAATGATAAATAAACGCGGCACACTTGGTACAGTGAGAAAAGTTTCCGTTTTGATACGAAAAATATAGATAATTATGATAATTTAAAGATAAATATTACTATTATTATACAGAAACTATTATTATACTTTCCATTAAAATATCTGTTTTATTTAATGACGAAAACAAATTCATATAAAATTCGACTATAAAATTTTTTAAAAATATAAATATAATTTGATACTTCCAACTTTTATAAAAAAATATCATATCCCGTTCTGTAACTTTATAGCAGGCTATATTGCATATAAAAAATAGAACCGTATAATATCTAATTGTACATCATATTTAAATGCAAATATTTTGTAATTTTAAATTATATTATAATATATTTTTAAAGTTCGTTATTATAAATATTAATCGCGAATCTTTATATGTACAAAAGCTTTGATACAAAAAGCTTTTGCCTTAATTTAAGTCAATAAAAAAGTTATTCATTTATTTGTTTTTAGAGAATCTTCACAATTAGATTCTTAGAGAACAATCAATTTCTAATATTTACAATATATATCACTTATAACTGTACAGTATGAAATCACATACCTACTGTTTTTTTTTAGATTAACTATTGCGTGGTAAACGTTTGCCATAGCACTCAGTTTAAGTGGAAATGTTTGCTTTTATTCACTGCGGCTTTGAATGGGGAAATAGAAGCCCACATACAATGCACTCTGTTCAGACAATGTATTGTTCGTATGGCATTAGTGTGACGTTAGTCTAAATCGTTCATTATCGATTTCAATAAACGCTTCTGCAATAAATTGGTTCTAATCTCATGTGTCGTCAACCAAAATAGGACTATGACTAGAGAGAGAGAGAGAAAGAGAGAGAGAGGGAAATACTGATTGTTTGTAATATATAATAAAATAATATATAATAGCAAAATATAATTTTTGATATATATATGTATATATTATAATAATATATATAATATTATAATAGCGCCCCTAATGATTTTTATTGTATGAAATATAATAGTATGTTTTTAAAATCTCTGAGGCTAATAACAAATGTGTCTTATTTTATATAAAAAGTTAGATAATTAAATACAAAAAACCCAACTTTACTTATTTATAAATTAAGAATTATTTCAATATTGAAAAGAAATAAATTCTTTAAATTTGATCTAATTAGCATAAGCTATAAAATTTATTATACATTTATTAGATATTGAAATTAATAACCAATATTTTGATTAAGTTTATTCCATAAATATCGATTTATGAAAAAAACATTAATTAGAATTCCAATGACTGTCCTAAAACTAGTATTATATTAAAGTTTTGCGCTTAATATTTTATAAATAAGTTGTTCGATCTATCGATATATTTTGGTATACCTATATTAAATTGCAAATCGGGTTGTTTGGGTATTATCGTCCAACTTATTAAGTATCCCCTATACGTGAAAACTTTTGGCTCTATTAAGAACTCCAAACTCCCCGAAGAAAACTGTTATTAGATATCAAACTTGTACACGTTGCACAAAAGCTGTTGAATTTAAGAATATTTAAAAGTCTAAAGATCTTCCTGTATAAAGATTTTTTTCCACGTACATATGTGGAATAAATGGCCAAAAAGTTGTTAAGGTTTTGCTATTAGTAAACTGTAATCGTATTTCACTTTGTGCTCACAATTTGCCCAAAACAATTTTGCCCAAACAAACCAGCAAACTATCCGCTTAATTCTAATTTGGCAAACTTTTTCCATTTCGCATAACAATTTCTATATAGTTTGTCAAATAAAAATTATATTAGCTTGTTAAAAATATATCCGCATTGTGAAATAGATAGAATTACTCACTGAATTTTTGCGTACTGCCGATATTTTATAAACAAAATAATCAATCCAACGGAGAAAGGTAAACTATTGGGCTAAATATGGTAAATAACAGTTAAATAAAGTTCGGTGAATAAAAGTGTATTATGTAATACACTGCACTACTTTAAATATGTTAAACGATAACAGCGATGTAAGATTGATCAAGTTGCAAACGCGTATTATGTAGTACAGAAGGCATAAATTATAAGCTAAACTAAACTAAATCTGAACACAGCCTAGGATATGGGGATGACGAAGTGACGTTCATTAAACTTGCAGTTAGAATAATTAATTGACATAGAGTTTCGCATACCCAGTGGGACGTTATCACTGCAAGCGAGTGAAACAACGTTTGATATTGAAAATTATGAATATACTTACAGGTTACTTTTTAAACTTGTATTCGGATTTACATAAAACAACATTTTATTTGTATATAAATCTAAATATCTTGTATCATTATATTTTAACGTCAATTAACGCGTTAAATTATTAACGCGTTAGCATGACAGCTTTTGTGAAGGCAAAAGCTATTCCTTGCAAAGCAAATAAATCTTGTTTCATTATGTTCTTATTAATTATGTATTTATAACCAATTATTATATCGTTATTCAAAATAATTAATGAAAATTGAAATATTCATATATTTAAAGCACTTTATTTTAATCGTATCAGCAAGTATATTTATTATTATTCTATTAACATTAATATTGATATTTCGGAATAAAATAAATAAGAATTAATTTGTGTATATAATTTGTTATAAATAACTATTTCTTTTCTAATTATGCAGTAATTAGAAAAGTAATTTGAAAAGTTAATTATGATATATTAATGCAAGTAGATGACATATCATTATGCTCATTATCAAAGAAAGATATTCTAAAATAACTCCAATTACAATAGTGATGTTATTTTGATCTCTCTCTCTCAATTATTTACACTATTTCGATATGTATCGATATCAAAATGTATCTATCATATGATGTTTGATTATGCAAGCTTCATTAAATTTATTACAATTATAACAATTCGATATAATATTATCTATGTTATCTTTTCTAGCTGCATATAATCTTAGCTACATATAATCTTTAGAGAATAATATAATACTATATTGATCTAACAATAACAGCAACAATATTTGATCAATATCATATTAAATACTTTGACGCATATTGTAGTTAATATACATATATAGTATAATATTACTGTGAATGTCATGTAAAATTTTATTAAATAATAATTTTAATATTTATATTTATAAAAATAATTGTGATCTCTAATCTTTATCTTACTCTATTTAATGCTTTGAGATTAAAAATATCTAGATCGAATTTCAGAATAACAAAGCTCACGGAGTACGATATTTGTGACAGTTTAGCTATCCTCTGTTTCCCATAAACTGAGTCGTTATGGAGGCGGTATACCATGGCGGAGGAAAAATTCTGCTCTGGCAAGCATACCGAAAGCCATCTCAATCGGAAATGTAAGGATAACGAATCGACGATACAATACGCGAATCCATTGTGTCTGCCAAGAATCGCGAAGCTATATTCACCTGCAAACCGTGAAAAGCCGTTTTCTGACCATAAGATACCTTCCACTGGCAAAATTGTTTTTCTGATCGATATTCAATACAAAGCTACTATTTCTTTAGAATAATAATAATGAAATTTGAGAGGTGTGACATATCCTGAATAGATACAATTTACATTCAAAGATTTACTTAAAATCCTACTCTGATTCGAAAATCTCTCTACGATCATTTTATCTAGAAGAAATACGTACTTTGATTTAAAAATAATATTTATTTTGTAATTTTGTTATACTTTATGAAGGTAAAATAAAAATTTAATTAATATATTTTTAGTGATATATAGATTATCATTAAATTATGCAAAATATTTTGTTTATTATTTAAAAAATGTATCGAAAAATTAAAACAAAAATGCAAGAGATATGAAACATAAGTCTAATAAAAACTTATAGAAACATATATAAATCACATAACAATCATATTATAAATCATATTATAAATCACATAACATCTTTATATCTGAATAAAGGTATAATTACTAAATTACGTTTTCTCAAAATAATAAATGAACAAAAAGCATTTATGCTTACTGTAGAAAGAAAATAATTATTTACGTAATCACTTTCATTTCTCTCCTTTCTATAAGTTCATTTTTTTCATCTAAATAGAACACAGAAGTGTAATACTATCATAAAGATGTTATTAACTTATTTATTATCTATAAGTTTACTTATAAGTGACAAATCAAATTATGATGATATCATTTTAACTCCCTAGAAAATAAGCTGACGTTATTTGGTGTTATTTTGATAACAAAATGACGTCTTTAATGTTACGTTAATGTCAAAATGACGACAAATGATGATAAATATCAGCTTGTTTGCTGCATTTTTATTTTATCCGTATACGTACATTAGGTACGTGCTTTTAACGTTATTTTCGATATTACCACCGCAATTACGAAGCCACGAAATTGGTTTTACGAAATAAATATACGGAATATATTCGGTAATCATTACCTCGTTTGCCGGCCCGCACGACGGTTGCACACATCGCCAGTAACACGACGGTGAGGGCGACGTTGATATGCAGTGGATAGCGCCGCATCTCCGAAACGAGAAGGGGCCAATCGCTACGTGTTATCCGTACGCTTCTTCCTCATACCCTTTTTTACAGTTCCTTCGCTAGGCGAACCGAGATTCACCGTGAAAATTACCGATTCGAGCAACGGCGCACTCACAAAATCAGAGTACTCTTATCTCACTGTATTACCCTCTTCGAGCTGCGTTCAAAATTTCACCATCCCGTACTCGCCTTTAATTTTATCCGGTCACTCTCGTGTTTCTTTACAGAACTCACCATCCATCGTATTCGTTTCACCTTTTCTGTACGTAATCGTAATACGTCCGGTGCGTTCGATCGAGTTACAAGACAAAAACATGTACGCTCAGTATCATCTACCTAGGATACAGCAAACACTGGACAGCGAATAAAGGGGAAAAAATTAAAGAGACAGACGTTTCCGGCGCGACGTCTCGAGCTATCTCGCGTGGCGGGAATTCTCGGCGATCCGATTCGCGGCAGCTCGCAATCGCGAGTAGTACTCGTTGTAAGAATGTGCTGTTCGGCATGGTGACTGAACGTGGTACAAACGGACGATCCGCCAGTCGGTTGCTCACGCTCGCTCGACCGAATCCCATCGACAAGATCCAGCGAAAGATCGATCTGACGTCCAACTATCCCGGCACCAAATATATATCGCGACGCTGCAGATTTTTCGAATTCATTCATCGGTAACACGTATCTGTCTCGGTCGTTGATTTAAGTTCTCGAAAATGAAGACTTTAAGTTCCTCTTGATTGCACTGCATACAGCGTGCAATCCCATTAATTGAGTCTTTCCTCTCTCTATTTATATTATAAGTAGAGATATGATATACAAAAGCAAACAATCCGATGTTACATAAAACACTGGCAGTATAATTTAGTCTTTAATTATAAAAGTTCGTTGCTTCTTATAAAAAATAACCATGCCCGAGGCGAAAAAGACGAAATTGATACTCTCTCCGAGAAAGTTCAAGTCGATTAAAGTTCAAATCGTGTCTTGATTCGATGTATAGTTGCTACACATAACTGTACACGGGCGCGTGTTTAAATTCTCGTTTTTCTCGCACCTTCGAAGATTTCTTCTTTTCCACCATAAATCACTTTGCTTTTCGTACCCGTATAATCAGAGCTTTCTCTCAAAGCGAGGGCAGAACAGACGTTTACCTTAAAATTCGTTATCCGTAGACGGAGTGCCGCGATTCGGAAACGATGCAACTTCAAAGCCGTTCTCTCCTGCAGTGTATCTGAACGTGAATATTTACACGCGTGTCGGGACACGTAAGTAACATGGTAATCACAGTCTTCCGACAAGACAAACTCGCATGCTCCACAACTTCTCGTTAATCGGAGGATAAAACTTTGCCGTAACACATTCCTCTCCTATTCCAAGCTTGATTAATTGGTTTCGAGGCGGAGCACGAGGAGTGCCCTTTTCCATCTTTTCGCTCTCCATTCACTCGCCTCTTTTATCACATTTTTCAAATTCCGCTAAATTCTTTGGTTCTTCGATCCCAGCCAATTTTCTAACAGGGTTCATGTATATTGTCCGCTGACACAAAGGTTCGATCACGTTCTAGAACTCGTCGCTATCAGTTTCGATCACGCGATCACACCATTTCATCCGACAGATCATCAACCGTCTATCGGTTTTTTCGCCGCGATAACACTCGTCACCGCCGCGAAAATTCTATCTGTCGTTGATATCGGCTGTCACATATGGATCCTCGGTCTACGCACGATACGATTACCACGAGGAACGGCGCGAAGGTGAAGGGAGTTTGGCGTGACACGGGACCGACAGGAGTACTGGCGCGCGTGCGGGCGGACGCGAGCGCAGTGATGCGAGCGTACCGTCGGGCCCGACGTTCCTCTCTTGCTTTCGGTGCGCCGCGCCGGCCGAGCTGCGACGACGCCAGCCGTGCCAACCCGAATGATCTCGCATCCGCGCTGCTAAACGGCGACCTGGACGCCAACCACCATCGCACAGTGCGAAATTCATCCAATCTAGGTATCCCGATAAATAAAGGCATGACATTTAATTCTACGCGTCCGAGAGTCCTCTATAAACGAAAACTTACAGTCTTTTTTATTACATCAGATGAATAATAAAGTGGGATGTATAATGGTTATTTGATAGAAAAAAAAAACGAAGAACTTTTATAATTGAAGACTACATAGATGTATAGACTCTAAAATATATGGGTATGAATTTTACCACCATGTGGTGTTCGTATAATTCTCACCATGTTGATATCGATATCGATACCAACATGGTGTGGATTTACAACCGGTTTATATCAATATCAGCAGGGTGAGAATTATATAAACACGGCATATGGTGTTACAGTCACACCCATATTTTTTAGAGTGAAATGTAAAAAAAAATGTTTTATAACCAACGATTTGCAGCAATTGTTTCCGCTTTTAGATTTATGCTGACATACTTTATTTTTCTTTAATTTTCTAATACAAACTATTGTTTTAACAAAAGTATTACAATTCCCTGGCCATTCTATATATTAATAATACGTATAAAGTGGTATTATATGATGCCAAATTCTTTAAAAAAGAGGAGACATAAACGTTTAGAATAATATAATCATTTTAAATCTAAATACAGAAAAATATTGATACGAATTGTCAATTAATAAATTTTTTATCCCTTTCATGTAATATCCTTCTCTTAATATGTTATATTAATTTCTTACTCACGAAAAATTGCGTAAGATTATATTTACATAATTTATCTATCACTATATCGCCATCCGTTATTTTACTTTTTCATTTCATGTTTATTTCATCCTTTACTTATCGAATTCCCTTCGCTAATTCCCTGAAAAATTTAGAACTTCCTCCCGATCTTTGCTAGTAAATATTATGGATGCATCGATTTTATTCTACTTATTCTTTTTAATGTATATAAGAGTCTATTCTGTATACGAACTCTGAATAGCAATAAATAATAGTAATGTTTTTATCAAGCCGAATAAATGTTGGAGAAATATTTGCTTTTTTTTATATTCAAGTAAAGAATCTGTTAAAACATTTATTAAAATTAAATAAGTTACTTTATGTACTTATTTATTTATTAAAAATATTCATTTAATAAATATCATTTAATAATCTTTGAGAAATCTCAGTCATTTATAATTTTAAAATTGTTGGTCAAAAAAGAAATGTATTATTTTTTTTAATCTGATTTCTAGCATTTACTACAAATAGTGATAGTGCTTAGGATATCCCATATATCTATCAAACATTCCAAGATAACAACTTTGGAAATTGTTTTTCGAAGAAATTGGAAGAGCTCCAAAGTGAATCTTCCACCCATTGTGATGATATTGGAAAGAGAATGCAAAAGTCAATGAAAATTTCATAATTGATATGTCGATTTAATTGAATAATTGTAATAATTATATCACAAATGAAACTTTGCACGATATTTTCTTTTCGATTCAATTTTATAAATAAATTACTTAATTAAATAACTTTTTTTTGCAAAAAAGTTTTCTGTATTTTCACGATCGAGTTCTTTATTCGCTCTTATAACATATGTAATAAAATTTGCAATTTTTGTAAGGTGATTAATTTGATTACAATTATGATGATATTTTAAAAATACTTTAATTAGCTGCGCAGTTCGATCATATTCATTTTAAAATGCAATAAAGTGCAAAATGCAGTAAATAAAGTAGAATTATAAATGTACGTAATGCTGTTTTTTTTTACAACAAATATATTTAGTGCAGTAAATCATATTATTTATTGTGGAATTAAATCTTATATTCCCAAAAAAAAGTAGTACACTACATAAGTAAAAAATGTCCATAAAACGTAATGATCTCTCGCGAATAATGATGTCACGTGCATAACTAATCAAAATTTAATTTCAATTATATATAAATTTTAGTATTATTTGTTTTATTTGTAAAATTGTAATATTGTATATATTTATCTTAAAATAAAAGAAACTGAATTATATTGAAAGCCAGAATTTTGTTAATGTTTAAAATTCAGAGAATTTGTATTTAAAAGGAAAAATTTGCGACACTCGACATATTTCTACTTATTCGTATACATATTCTGTAAGAAAAATCTCAGCAAGAATGCGCATCCTGATTGTGTCAACCCTTACTTATATGTCGCTTACCAGTATCAAAGACGATAGAACTTTTTCGTGAATCTTTCTTTCTTTGAGGTCGCTGGTCTTAGATCCTTCAAGAAATTGAAAGGAACATACTTACTATCTTTACGGTTGTCACAATTTTTCCTTGTCGGACTATTCATTACTATTCAACTTTATTAATATAGATAAATTCTGATTACGTAAATACCTAAAGAAATAAATGATTTACCGATGAAGAAATTAATACTATTATATAACAATAAATAATTTAATCTCAAAAAAAATGAAATATACTTTACAATTTCAATGTTTCCGGCGAAATTAGCACTTTGGAATTAACTTTATTATAGGATTGTCAAGAAAAATTTAATATGCTTGTTTCATTGTATCTTTAACATTTATAATTATAGAAGAATTCCCAATTCTGATAAATCAAATATTAAAACAACAGTATAATTTTTTAGAGAATGTTTTTCATGTCTATGTGTAGAAACGAGAACAAATTTTTTTTATTAAATTTTATCATTTTATATTGGGTTAGAGAAAAAGTTTCTTTACAAATTAATAAAAGACTTTTTTAACCCATGTAGTCTATTTTTAAAAAATTGGTAATATTAGAATGGATTAACATTGTACGAATTTTTTAAAATTACTTACACTCGATCGCATTTTTTGATCAGTTTTTCTGAATTACTTCGGATAATGATTTTTATCGGATAATTGAAGATTTAACATCCATTCGTACTTTTCTTACGGCACATATAAATTAAGAAAAATGCGCCATTTGTCTTAATTTATATTACAATATATTAATTAAATGCAAAATAAGTAAAATGCAAAAATAAATTTCCGCATTTGTCGATACGTAAATAATACGTTTATGAGGCAATAAGCGAAGAGGATTGATATCCAAATATCCATATTTATATAAGTAAATTTCAATCTAATTATTTGCGAATTTTATTTTACCGTTTTATAAATATATTATTTATGCGTCAGACTTATATAGATAAGAGACTTATATAGTCATTTTACTTATATTTGATTTATTCTTAAAATCATAAAATTATTTTTACTTTAAATTCGTTTAAAAAATGCACAAAGCTCAACGTGTCATATCGACTGAATATCAGCTTTGTCTATTTAATTAATATTTATACAATTATTTAA